CCCTCCGAGCCCACCCGGGGCGCGCGTGCTGGGAGCCAATTCCCAGAGATTTAGGAAATCGCTCAGCCCAGGCCGGCAAGACGGCAGGAAAGGAGCGATTAAGGGCGAGGAGGAGATGCGAGGCTTCCCCGGGAATGAACACATTTGGAAGCCAGGCAGGAAGGGGGCAGGAAGCTGCTCTCATAAAACAATCTGACAATTACGCGTCAGCGGAGGAGCTGGGCTCTGCAAATTACGGGGCTGCCGCGCTGCCGCACAGCCGGGCTCTCCCCCTGGCGATTTCCTCCGGGCTGCAAAGAGCTACAAGAGGAAATTATGTTTGGGGCCAGGTGTTTGTTCCTCCACTTTTGGGTTCAGCTTGGGACTGCGAATTTTACGCCGCCTGCTGAGGGAAACAATTCCTGGTAACAGGATTCCCAGGCCCTGGGCGGGTCGCTGACTTCTCCCAGGTGAAAGAGGCCTCTGTCTCCAAAGCTTTACCCTCCAGATCCACATGGAAATCTAGTTGATGGGGATTTTTCACAAGAGCAGCCAGAACCACTGTTTTATCCATGGATCTAGAGAAAAGGGTTAAGTTGACTGCTACTCAAAACTGGGGTTGCCGTCTCCTCCCTTATCTATCAAACTTAGTAGAAAGACTCCAGCTCCTGAAGATAACTAGAGGCCTTGTTATAGGCTTAGCTTCAGATATGCAGTTTTCCCCATGCTCTCTTTAGCCTTGACAAGGCTCTTTTAGAGTCATTTAGGGTGTGCCAGGACAGATGGGTTCCCTCAGACCCTTAGAACCAGGAGTGTTTCCCAGCACACACGTCTGACACAGTCCCGGCTAACCCTTGCCCTCTCCTTGCCCCCAATCCTGCTGGAAGGGATCCTCTGAAAGACAGAAGGCCTGGAAGACAATCTAAGGATCCCAGTCACTGGAGAGGAGGCCTGGGGAGCTGTCAAATATCCTGGCTCCACCAGTCACCGGCTGTGTAAGCTCAAACAAGTTGCTTCACCTCTCTGACTTCCTCTGCGAGGTGGGCTTGTTGTGAGGACTCAATGAATCAATCTGCGGGGCTCTGAGCACTGCCTGGAATACAGAACCAGGTAGGTCCGCGCTGTGACCCTGACATGCAGAGCTGTGTGATGTGTCAGCATAAGCGGATCCTGCACTCAACGCCTCTTCCATTAATAAGGCAGCCTCAGGAGACTGAGAACACATTTCCTTCCTCACCAGTCTTGTAAAGCCCCCCGTCACGTTCACTTTCATGAATCAACTATACTTGCTAACACCATGATCTCCTTGGCCACCGAATTACTGCACATTCGTAACTTGTGAGTGCTAGAGGGACAATATACACAGTGGACAAGAACGAGGTCTCTAGTGCTAGACACTTCACAGCCCATCTCTGCAACCTGGGCAAGTTATTTCTTACCTTCGGACCTGAGTACCCTCACCTGTAAAAACTGGGATAATAAGGCTAGTTCTCATCCCATCGGGTAACTGTGAATACCAGATAAAACAATGTTAAATTATTATGTGCCTGGGCTTAGGTAAGGACTCACAAGTGTGACAGGTGTTTTTATTTATTTACTTCCTTACTTTTCTTCCCCAGTACCAGGATCGAACTCAGGACTTTGTACTTGCCAGACAGGCATGGCGCTGCTACACTACATCACCAGGGGGCAGTCCTTGACTCACCAGATAAAATGAACCAATGCCCACGGTCATCACTATGCAGGTGAAGTTAAATAAAGCAGCATGTATGTGTCCAATAGAGTAAATGTATCGATGAAATAGAAAATGGAATGCTCATTATAATTGAAAAGGTACCGTTAAAACGCCTTTGTTTTCTGCCAATGTCATTACAAAACAAATGACCGATGAAAAGGGAAGAGTGTAGAAGCTGGTGGTAGGAGAATCCCAAGGACTTAAATTGTACAGTTTTATGTGAATCTGTTCGACAAAACAGCCTCCTGGTACCTCTCTTTTCAGAGCCTTCTCAGAGGAGAAGTACAGTACCCTTACCTTTCAGTCTGCTCCTTTCCAGCTTCGGCCATTTCATGAAGAGACTGCTGGGTAACAAACATCTACAGAGAGAATCCCAGTAGCACCTGTTTGCTTGTTTCAAACAGTTTTTCATATAAAGTTATTTACTCATTCTACATATTCCCTATATGCACTGACTGTAAGCGTTTTTTTTAAAAAATAACTACAACCTTGCACATAGTAAGTACTCAGACAAGTTCTTGCTGCCTAATATATCTTTCCTGGAATCCCCCACATTTCTCCTTTGAATTTGTAAACAGTTGAGTACAGCATTTAAATAAAAAGTAGAAGGGGCCAGGAGAGGGCAGTGATGGGGCAGAGCTTGGCTAAGAAGGGAAATGCTGGTGGATATCCTAGACGACTTTAGGACAAATAGAAAACATTTGGATTTAGCCCAGAAGAGGGTGCTACCTACTTCCAAGATAGTCGCTCCAAGGAAGCCCAGCATGGCCGGACGCCTGAAATGAGCCCCGGGCTCGGCTCTGTGCAGTCCTTTCCCAAGTGTAGAAGAAATGCTCCAACAGGCCTGGCCATCCTTTGACACAAAGAACTCTTCTCATTTAGATGAACAGCAGGGCAGAGTCTAAAGATCATGAAATAGCAGAGCAGAGGCAAAGAGGACACAAAAGTTGTACAGAGTTCAGGCAAAGATTTTCCTTTTCTTCTAAGCAATCATCCAGCAGCTTGCTGGGCACTGCGGGTGCACTACAAAACCTCCCACTGCCACCCCTACTATGAATGCCTGCCCTCAGGCTGCTTTTCAAAGATTCTGAGACAGAAGGACTGTTAAGTGAGGCTGGATGGGTAAAGATCACAGGGATTGAATGCACCCTAAATTTGGAATCTTTCTCGGGCTTATATAAGGCGCCTTTCTATTTCCAACAATTTTCAAAATCCCTTTTGTCTCTGTGGTAGAGTGGCCTCTCTAGAGCCTGGGGTCTAGAAGCCTGGGCTTCTTCTATATTCTCCACGGTATCCTTGACCCTTCCTTCTGGAGGACCTCCAGCTATTCCCTCTTCTCAAGATTACTGTCAATATCTTAAATGGAAATAATCACTAGTATCTTTTCAGCAAGAAGATGGAACTTTTGTCCAAGATGTACTTTCCACAACATAAAGTACAATGTTGAAGCAGATCACTCATTTGTTGCTCACCTGGCTTTTTAAAAATCAGGTGTTGTGCTCTTCGTGAACAGAAATTCAAATAACAAAAAAACTAATTGGACAGGAAAAAATCCAATGCCCAGTTGTAGCTCCAGATGGGAACGGAATACAAGCAACCTCGCCAGGCCTGGTGGTCTACACCTGTAATCTTAGCTATTCACGACCACATATTTGAGGCTGTCTTGGAGAATTTATTGAGACTCTGTGTCAATATAAAATACTGTATAAAAAGGGCTTGGGGCGGAGCTCAGTGGTAGAGCACTTCTGGGTTTGATCTCCAGTACTGGAGAGGAAACGAAAGGCACCTGGGCATGTAAATGCAGAAAGTGCTGCTTATGGACTTACTTACAATTTCAGCCAGCAACTCTGGTTCCATGAATTCCTCCTACAGATGTCCTGGTACACAGATGTATGTGCAAGACAGTCTCTTCCCTGTCAATGAACAGCCAAATGTCAAATAATAACGTCAATAGCCAAATTCCGCACATAAATATCCATTAACAGGAATCTCATTGAATAAGTTATAATACATCTACTGTCCAATGGGATACTATGTAGTCAGACAGAAGACAGCACATACACATACACATACATGCGTGCGTGTTTTGGAAAAATGCTTAGAATCATGGTTAAATTTAAAAAGCAGAGTATATTAGAGTATGTGGTATATGCTCAATTATATAACAGTGATTCTAGGGCTGGGGATTTAGCCCAGTGGTTCTTCTGCCTGCCTCGCAAGCACAAGGTCCTGAGTTTGATCCCCATATAAAAAAAAGTGATTGTATATAATCAAAATTATATAAATTATGTTTTTCTTAGGGGTTCTACACACATGGAAATTTCTAGAGGATATCCGGAAAGCTTTTATTTATTTTACTTTATTTTATTTTATTTATCAAATAAATAAACTCAAAGTCAAACTCGGGTCCTTGAGCTTACAAGGCAGGTGACAGAACCACTGAGCTAAATCCCTGGCCCCAGAAAGCTTTTAACATAGGGACTTTTAGGTAATAGGAGTAGGGATATGGAGCACTTTTTCTCTTTATACTTTTTTGTACTGGTTGAATCCTTTTACATGTGTTACTTCCATATAATAAAAACCAGTATCAGGAAGTGGCAGGCACATCTCTCAGCTGCCTTCATAAACTCTGTTGGCTGTATTCATCTATATCCAGTCTACATGACAGAAACCCTACAATGGAAGGCAATGGTGGTACATACAGGGACAAGTCTCTGGGCTTGAGGGAACAAGTGAACTCAAGCTGTATTAGCTGGAAACTTGTTTTCACTTTGTGATATTCAGGTAGTAAGTGCTGCTCACTACTCTAGGCTTTTATGAAGAACCGTTTGGGTGTGGCAGAATCTCAGAGAAACTATAATTCTGTAAATCATTGGCATGAATGGCCACATAGCTCATAGCCACTTAGAGCGACTCTTGGAGCACACCCTCCTAGAGAGAAAGTTAGCAAACTGTATTTGCTGGGATTAGGGTCAACTATGAGTCCTAGAAACCTTCTAGGGAGTAAAAGTTTCTCTCTCATGTGAAGAGCCTTGAAGACAGGAAGGCTATGGGGCCACTCCATTGGGCTTGGTCTCCACCAAGATGGCAGTGCCTGCTTGTCAAGCAGCGAAACAGAAGGCATGAGGAAGAGGGACAAAGTGCATACATGAAATGCCTCTGAAGCGGGGATTCTGTGTGACAGTAGGAGCTTCCACATGGCAAATTCACCTACTTGTGTTGACCGGAAGTCAGTCTCTTGACCTACCCAGGGGAACTAGGGGAAGCTGGGAAATGTAGTCACAAGGCCCAGCGGCTTCATGCCCAGCTTAAAATCAGGGGTTCTATGTTTTATCACTGAAGAAGGGAAAGACAGATACTGGGACACATCTAGTGGTTTTCTGTAACACTGATCTAATAGATTCCTATCACCCAAGCAACTTTCCAAACATAAGATTTTTGGTCATAGATAAGAAAAATATCCTGCCTTGCCATATATTCCGATCTAGAGCTTAGGGCAGGATTTAGACAAAAGTTTGTTAAAACATTACTATGGAAGAGATGGTGAGACATCCTGGAATTTAATTCACTGCTTCTCTTCCATCTCTGCCACCAGCTCTAGCATTGTGAACATACTGGATAGGATATAGTAGCTATCGGGTACAGAAACCAGGTCATCCCCACAACAGTTACACACACACACACACACACACACACACACACACACACACGTCAATAGAATACAGTAGAACTTATCCGTGATGTAATTCAGACACTATTTCCTGTGAGTGAGACAATACTGTACAAGAATAGAGTGCTATATTTATGCTATGGGAAAGGCCCATGGGGCTTCAGATTTAGGTTTAAGGAAAAAGGAATTTGCTCACTGATTATACTGGGTCCTGAGGGACTAAAGGATAGTATAGTTGACCATCAAAGGAGTGGGAGCTACAGAACTTCCCAAGGTCAGCAAAGACAAGATCCTGTCCTGGAGCAAACACAGGCAGGCGGTCCAGCATTCCAGCCACCGTCACATGAGCTGCCAGACCAGTGGCACAGAACTGACCCAAGCCTCCCTCCCTGGGCTGTACCTCTCATTTAGTGCCAAGTCTTCCCAGGCTCAGATGCTGTTCTCTGGGAACGTGAATGAGGGTTCTTTTATGTTTCCTTGCCTGCAGCCCTGAAGTTAGCAGTAAAAATCCAAATGTTTAAACTCTCAAGTTAAACCTCCATGTTGTGGTCTTCTGTCTTGTTAAAAACAAGCAACTTTATGATTCTTCGATCAATAAATGGCGTAGGTTACAGAGATAAAGGAAAAGAACATTAGCAGGAAGGCAACAGACTAAACAAGGCCCCTGAAGATTACTCAGAGGTGGGCTGTTGGAGCTTGTTGGCGGACTTCCCTCGTAACTATGCAGGAGAATTGCTTTAGACTTCAGGATCTGTGATCACTTAAGTTTCCTGTCTGTGCAGCTTGACACTGACCCCGCCTGACCCCATCCTCCTGGCCCTGGGCCAGTCAGGGTGCAGCAGTGAGGCAGCAGCAGGTCAGTGAAGAGCTCAGGCGGGCCCTTCCTCCTCAACTCTGCAACCACCTGCTCAGCCTCTGCCCTACAGGTTCACGGGAGAAACCTCCTCAAGTACAGTCCACCCTCCACTCCTCCCCTGTCTGCCGTCTGCTGCTCCCACAGGCTCCTCCGTGCCACTAAAAGGCCAGGGTATCATTCTGCAAAGTGCTCAGGTTCCTGTCCTCACGTCCCACACCCGGACCATCAGCATGTCCTCTCAGCCTTGCCTGCGGCACATGCTCGGGTCTGGTCCTTTCTCCTCGCTCACTGGGCCAGCTGATCGCGTGCCCTTGCCCTGGTTACACAGACTTCCCCCTGGTCTCACTGGTCCCGCAGCCCACCCTTCCCATCCCTTCAACACAGGGCAGCCGAAGTCTTTTCAAACCTGAGTCACAGACTCCTTGGCTCTGCGCCCCCGAGAAGCCTCCACATTTCATGAGGAATGAAAGCCAAAGTCCGAGCCCTCCTTGCCTGGCCTGCCTCCTGCGCTGACCCCCCCAACAGCCTCCTCACGCCCAGCTGCACAGTGGGGTCTGACACTCAGTATCACGACTGCTTGGCTTCCTGCTCTTTGCAAGGGCAGCTCCCCAACTTCCTTCAAGTTGCTCCCCAAAGCCCTCTTGTCAGAACCTTTCCTAGGCACCCCTTTATCCTGCTTTGCCTTTTTCTTTATAATACTTAGGCCCACTTGGCAAATACACATTTTTTTTTCTTCTGTGTGTCTCTCCCCACTGGAATGTAGGCTCCTTGGAGACAGCATTTTTCCTCCTGAGAACAGTGCCTGGTACAGAGCAGGCAAATATTTTTAAAAAATAAATACTAATGTACATTGCCCCGTTAAGGTGCAGCATAAGGCAAAACAAACAGCAACAACTACAACAAGAAACGGTCGACTGTATGTATAGTTTTTCATAACTAACCTTTTGAAAAAGAAGATTTTTTGATATTGGATGGATGAGTGAAGAGAGATGACCTCCTACTGAGCAACTATTGCTTCTTAAGCACGATCCTACTTCTGGGGGTGAACCATCAAGACAGGCAGTGGCCCAGAAAAAGGTAGAGGTGGAAGCTAAAGAAGCCAGGAAAAATACCATTTAAATAAGCAAACAAGAAAATGAACAAGATGATTTGAAAGTTAACATTGACATCTATTTACAATAAAGCTTTTTGGAAATTATCTATAAAAATATACCTGTTTCGGCCAGGTGTGGTCGTGCACACCTGTAATCCCAGCACTCAGGAGGCTGAGGCAGGAGGATTGCTGTGAGTTTGAGACCAGCCTGGGCTACACAGTGAGTTCCAGGGCAGTCTCAACTACATAATGACACTTTGTCTCAAAAAAAAAAAAATACACACCTATTTTGTGCATGGGACTTACAAATCTCTTTCACTACTCCACCTCCACAATCCTGTACTTTATGAAAAATACCTATATTAAAACATATTAAATGAATACAAGCTGCTTATCTCTGACCAGCTGCTTTATAGCTTGTTTTAAATTAGTTATACTTTGTCAGTGGCAGTATTTGTTGTACATGGATGTAACGATTTATATTGTCTCTGCCATGTGCCCACAAGCTATCTGCTAGAAATCTCACAGGTCTTCAAAAGTAAATGTCTGCCACTCCTTCTGACCTATTCTTGAATCTTTGCAGATATTTCAGCATACTACTGAGAAGCTGCACGCTTTTGTTTTTGTAGAGTTGGTGAAAATTCCATATGGATTCTTCGGCTCCCAAAATTGAATGAAAACACAGAACCCCTTAAAATAAAAATAGACGCACTTGGGAATCACAAGGGAAATGTTACTTATTCTCTGAGAATGCGGCTTCTGCTCTCCCTCGTGGTGGGAACCCACAGTGTCATTCCAATTTCCTATAAACTTGGCAGGACTCTGTGTCCGTTTGGAATTGCAATAGCCTGGATTTCAGATTGGGGAGGAAGGAAGGAGTCACTGCATTCCACTGAAGAGTCCTCCAGCACAGTCCCAAGAAGCCAAAGCTTAAATGTCAGAGGCGGCTCCATCTAATGAATTTACCCTGTTAACACTCCATAACCAGCTCTGGTGAGCTCTCTCCTCTGGCCTTTCTTTGGTAAGGTCGCTTGTTGCAAAAACTTCTGGTTCCTGTGTTAGGTTTGGGGATTTTTTTTTTCTCTAATTATCCATATATTTTTTGGACTAAATACTCCAAGATGTGTTATACTCCTGCTGCGCACCCTCCACTCCTGCCTGCTTCCCGATGGACGAGGTGGGAACTGCAAGGAAAGCCACCAATTCAGGAGCCAGCTCTAATCCCCTGCTGTCACAGTCAGACAAAAGAGTGGAATTCTATTCCAGGAGGGACCACAGGGTGGGAGGCAGGAGATGGGTCCCTCCGCTTGGAAGTGGCCTGGGGTGGGGGCGGCTTGTCAAGGGAAATACAAACTCTGAGGCTTGCTGAAGGCTGATCTAGCCGTGAGTCTGTGGCTCTTACTTTCCTCTCCCCCATTCCTGGTTCCAAACAAGTGATTTGCGCGCAAACAGTTGCATTCCACAAGCAAGTCATTTCCTCTTCCTTGTGGGAAGGCAAGCGGAGGAGAGAGGGGAGGAAGGCCCAGCTCTTCAGACGACCTGAACTGGGCCCAGGGCTTCCTTGACCCTCAGCGTCTTCTTCCACTTCTTAGAGGGGTCTGCTCTCTTCCCTGCCTGAGGGAAGCACATTAACAAAGCACTCACATCCCACGTGAAACACGTGTGATTCTTTCCTGGCAAGATTATGGAAGGGTTTTTATTTTTAACGTTTTTGTGCTGAGGATGGAACCTGGGGTCTCGCACACGTAGGAAGCGCTCTACCACAGAGCTGCGTCGCCAGCCTGGAAGAATTTTTAAATTTCCCTTTTAAATTTATTTGGCTCTGAGGAACTGATGTTTAAACAATTACTGGGAAACAAGAAAATCTAACCTCTGGATTGTTTTCAAATGCAACAAAGCTTTTAATGAACACTGAGGAACTGATTGAGTTGAAATGTTAAGCTATTGTAAGGATTTAATTAGACATTAATTTAAATTGTTTTTAGTTTCATGTATCAGTAGATACATGAGTGCTTTGATGTACAGAAAGATATGTATCATATATACGATTATAAAAATATACCACATATGTCATTGTATTCCAGATGAAATACTGCCTTAAGCCCTTAAAACCTACTGGCCTTAGCGCTGTGTCTTCAGAACCTAAGAGAGAAAGAAGGCCGAGAAGTAAAAGGTCCTCTCTCAACAAAAACAAACCTGGGCATAGACACAAAGGCCCTTAATCCCAGCGCTTCGGGAGGCTGAAGCAGGAAGAGCCCAACTCTGAGCCCAGCCTGAGCACCTCAGCAATTTAGTGAGATCTTGTCTCAAAATAAAATATCCCAAAGGGGCTGGGAAGTAGGTTAGCGCAAAGGCCTTGTATTCAATCCCCCATATGGCAAAGAAACAAAACAAAAACTCAGAGAGTTCCTACAGACAGGTTAGTGAAGGGATGCAGGAGACCGGAGGCCAGGACCCCTGCCAGGGAGAAGGCTGTCCCAGCAGCCCTGGATTGTCACTGCCCCAGCCCCGAGCCTTGCCACAGGAGGCAGAGATCCCACCACAGCGGTTAATGTTTCAGTCCCCTCGCCGTCCCTGGGGACTCTCCTCCCGCAGTCCCTTCCTAAACCACTCGAATCTCATTTCTCTTGCAGCTGATTTTTTTTTTTTCAAGATGTTAATTTCTGTGGAACCATCTGGATGTTATTAAGAAAGTGTCCCAGGTCCTCCGAGGCAGCTGGCTGTGGCCTCTTGCCTTGTTTCCTGTGTCCTGGATGTCGAAGTTGACTTTCATAAGAAATTTGGAATATTAGTTTAAAAAAAGAAACAGTCAAGATTTTTCAGGCACTGAGCACTTGCAGCTTCATTTCCCCGGGGCGGTTTCGGGGGGGCTTTGCGTTTCAGATCCCATCTTTGGGCCCTCCTCTGGGGATGAAGCTGGTCTGTTTTAAAGACAGAAGGCACCCGTGGTCAGAGGTGAACCAGAAATCCAATCCGCCCCACCCTCTCCAGTCAGCCTCACAAAACTCTCTTTACGCTGTTGCTGCTGCTTGGCCATTTCTACACTGGCAACCCCTGCTCCAAACTGAGACCCAAATCACTGTCCCAAAGTAAACACTAGCTAGTTCAGCCCTATACCACTTTTTCCTAGCATCCTCCAGGTAAAATCATGAAACACAGATCAAAAAACAGAGCACGTGCCTGGGCAGTGACGATACCAAGAAAGGTGATGGGAGAAGCCCGGGAACAAGGAACAAGTCGACTAGGAGCAGCTGGGGCCTAAACAGAGAAGTTCCCCAGATCTGCTTTACTATTTGCAGCCTGCAAGGGAGCTGGCTCCCCCCACTTCCTGTTTAACACTCAAACTCATGGAATGTACACTTTGAGTGGCCTTGGCCGCTTGACTCCCATGCTGAAGGTCCCCATGACCAACCCATGTCTTCTCAGGCCTTCACCCCCAAGAAACCCGCATATCTTCACCTTTTGATTTCACTAATAGTACTAGGTCTCTGGGAAAATCTTATCCATTCATTTATTTATTTATTAATTTATTTGTTTGGTTTTTTGAGACAGGGTCTCACTATGTAGTTGAGACTGACCTGGAACTCAGTCCAAACTGGTCTCGAATTTACAGCGATCCTCCTGCCTCAGCCTCCCTCCCGAGTGCCGAGATTACAGGCATGCGCCCCCAAGCCCAGCTCATTTGCTTATTTTTGCAGTGCTGGAGATGGAAAGCGGGGACTTCCACATGCTAGGCAAGTGCTCTACCACTGAGCTACACCCCAACCACCTGCTCCTGCGAAATATTAAGACTCCTAGTCAATGCTATGAAGTCACGCAATCCATTCAGAGCACCACTACACAAGCACAGGACAACTTTCCCCAAACACAACTCTCTCCCCCTCTCTCTCCCTCCCCTTATTCCTCCCCCTGCTCCTTCTCCCCCCGTCCCCAGGGTGGTACTGAGAGAAGTCCTGATGGAAGAGTACAGTTTACTCACCTTTGAGGATTCACTCAGAAAAGAGGCAAGACATTCCTAACCTCCTTGTCTCCGTCCACAAGAATCTATCACCCTTCTTTGTTTTTTCCCCATACTGGGGCAGTGTGGACTGAACCCAGGGCACTCACACACTGAGCTATATCCCCAGCCCTTTTTATCATTTGTATTATGAGATAGGGCCTTGAGAAGTCACTGAATTGCCCAGGCTGATCACGAATGTTCGATCCTCCCACCTCAGTCTCACTGGGCACGCAGCACCCTGCCCAGCCCCTCCCCAATATTTCTATTTTGAAGTAATTCAAGCTACAAAAGGAATTTAAAAGAACAATAAAATGAATCCCTGTATATTATCTAGAACTTAACCATTAACTACCTCTGCATTTGCTTTCTCCCAATACTTTCTTCTGTTCTATTTGAAAATAAAGTGCAAATATCATGACATTTCATCCTTAAGTACTTCATCCTTGATTAATCTCTAAATATTTACACATTATCACATCTTAGCCATGCAACACTGAAAAAAATATTACCTAACAGATAGCTCAATCAAATTTTCCCAGTGGTCCTAATCAACATCTTTGTTTTTTATATATAATTCACGTATCATAAAATCTGCTCCTTTCAAGTGTACTATTCAGGTTTCCAGTATACTCACAAGGTGTACAACCATCATTACTAATTCTAAAACATCTTTATAATTCCAGAAAAAAACTTCCTAGACCTAGTAGCAGTCTACCACCTGTGTCAACAAGTAAGTAATCTCTTGGGCTGGGATTTAGCTCAGTGGTTCCGGCCAAGTTCAATCCCTGGTACCAAACAAACAAACAAAAAACATAATCTGCCTCTGTCCCTATAGATGCTGGTCCTTTCATAGAAATGCAATTGTGCAATAGATGATGTTTCTCTGGCTTCTTTCCCTTAACATAATGTTTTCAGGCTTCATCCATTTCTTAGAAGCTATCTATATTTCATCCCTTTTTTTGGTCACGGGGAGGAGGTTACTGGGGATCAGACTCAG